CCAAGGGATTAGGTTATCCAATACCAGTATGTGTTATTTTTCCCACTATATTTAATTATGTAGAAAAGATGTGATTTCCTTCCCTTTCCCTAACTTCATTGATCCGTATCTGTCTAACACTATATTTCATGCGTTGCTTGGAATAAACTCCAGAAAATTTAAACCTGGTTTAACAATCCATACCTTTTTTTCCAGAAAAGATGTTCATGTAACAAATAAGGTACAAGATTGGACTATTAGACTGAAAGATACATTAAAAGTGGAAACCAAATAATACCACTTATAAGTAAGTAACTTGTTCGCTGAGAAGAAATGTTAAACAAGCCACTTTCTTTGCATGGAAACTATTAAAGGTAGGATGAAATTTTGTTATTTTTGATGTGCTCAGATAAAATCTTAACAATGTAAAAAGTGTTTAAACACAGGAGGAATATTTAGATATGTTGCCTTACCCTTATATGATAGCAGTAATCAATGGATGACCCAAAGTTTAAAAACTTATGGTTCTATGTTGTGCAATCAAAATGGTTCAATTAATGTTAAGCCCTGCATAACACACTTGCTGGTGGGATATAGCTTCAATAAATGTGTGCCAGGGAAGGTGCTCTAGTAAGGTCAACATGGAGAGTAAGACTCAGGAGTCCCTGTTTTTGAAGATTTCCGCTGTCATTTAATCCGTTCTTTCAGCATTTACTAATCAACTCCTGGTCAAACATAAGGTCTTCTGAGTATAAACCTTGGTTTAACTTTGAACATCCCCATTCAGACTAGGAACTATATTAATAAGGAACTATATACTAATTGTATAGAGAATGTCATAACGATTTGTTGTAGGTCAAAACAATCTTAAGGTGAATGTGAAACAAGGTTGGGCATTGATTTGCACAAGAACTTGATAGAGAATTAGAATGTACGTGTATGTGCAGTTTGTAGGGTTAACCCGTCAATTGAATTCCACATAAGGTCTAACAAAAAAAATGTTGTATTGCCGGTTAGGTGCCAAAACATGGGTCGGTCGGTCGGTTGGAAATCTTCTCTTTTTTTCCCTCCGTCCTTGGGCGAATATTTTTCAGTTTTGAATGCTTTAATATGTTTTTTCTCAAAAAAGCGGTAGAAAAAAAAAACGACTGCAGATTTCAAGACTTCTGGGTCGGTCGCAAAGGGCAATACAACATCTTTCTTTTTTTAGACCTAATCTTGGGCCTCTCTCCCAAATGATCACCTACATGTATTTAACAGTAAATGTGCCAATCGCTATACATTTTTTCTTTTCACGTTACTTAATAGGATATTACCTCCGGTGTGAAAGACCCTCTTTCACCTGATAGAATCATCCATGACCTTAAAGCAGAGGAAAGGGTATTGCCAATGATGGGTGATGTGGATCTATTCATCTTCCTAACCGTACGAACATACAGATGCACTCTTATCAATCAAGTTGAGCAAATCTGAACCGCACGAGGAGGGTTCCCTTACGTAAAGGACAAAGACCGCGAATCACCGGAGTTCGGTGCTTGATCTACTTCTTACGTTTAACCAGCACCTCCTGAGCAAACACACCCCAACTACAGTAGGACAGGGACCTGTTTCACAAAGCCTTTTTTCAATGACAAATTACAAAAATCAGTGACAATTTCTGCTGATAACCAATCAGAAGAAGTTTTGTGAAACGGGGCCCAGAACATCCCAAAGAAGAGGGATCAGCGCTGACAGGGTCGTGCAAATGGATGAGGATAAAATGAACAACCTGATAGTTGATACCCCAAGAATAGACCAACCAATGAAGACAAGATGGATGTCCAGGTCTTTTTTTACACTATGGAGGTTTGTAAGTGGTCCATCGTGAAAGGGGGGAAATATATTTGTACAAACGGAACGAATACTGCAAGTACAAGTACATGTACATGGACAGTTCAGGGGCATTGATCTCAGAATCAGTGGTGACTGAATACAGGACGAGTGGCTCAAGCCTACATGGAAATAAAATGAACTGTAATGACAGAAAGTGAGAGATGATTTCCAAAGATGTGAAACCCATCCCCAAAAATGAATTTCAAAGAAATTTAGTATAGAAGCCTCATGCTTTGGGAGCATTTTGCACTTATAAAGCAGGGCTCCACACTAGGTACTTTTTCCTGTCTGTGTGCAAAAGCCCTAGATGTACAAAATTAGAAATTTGTGGGTTTGGACGTTAAATTTAGGCACCCATGTGTCCAGGGCACCTGTTAGTTTCAAACCCTGCATAAAGGATTTGGTAATTTATGAATAATAAGTATTCCTTTACGACAATGTAGGGATCTATGTAATTAGTATCCTTCCAACAATCAAACACCTTATCCAAATACAAAATTTGTCCAACTCTAGTTGCTCAACATGTACCTACATCATACATACATGTACGTCTTTCAAAAGTTTGAAGGTAGGCAGTGATTCAATTGAAAATACAGTTTCTAGTATGCATAAGTTACAAGGAGTTTTTAAAAATCCATTATACGCATGTAAAAATTAAGGAGCTAATACACTTTCAGCTCATGGGATGTTTCTTTAAATGAATTACTCATCCAATGATATGAATACTTATCCTAGTTCTGCCCGAACAAAAGCAAAAGCTATCAATTGAAAATCAAATTTAGCTTTGATTAACGGCACAAACATATTTTCATTTGAAGTTTAATTGCTGGCGGCAAATCAAAGGACACAAGCACGTAAGAGAGATTGTGACCAACAAATTTATTTAACAGATGTAGGCTAAATAATTGCACTTATTAATGCTTTATTACTGACAAATTCCTTGTTCGGATTTATGAACTTGTGACCCTCTCAATTCAAAGCGTGTCTAGAATGATATCAACAGACAATTGAGCAGAAGCGGCACATTGTCTATTGCTTATATTCACAACAAGAGCAGGGCGTTCAAGACAGCTTTATTGATTTTCATTACTAACTTATATGGATCACAAGGGGGAAGATTTCCCATTAAAAGCGATGTCTTATTCATTCAAGTCATTAAAAACTTTGCTGTGTTTTCCTTGACAAAACACATTTGAGCTCTTTACTTGATGTTCTTCTTCCCCAGACAGTGTAATTGTCTCCAAGGCCGCCTCCATCTGTTCATCAGGAGATCCTCTTTCATAAACATGAGCTTCACTCCAGCTCTGGGAAGTTCACACTAGGCCCGTCTTCATCAGCTCGAGATTGCTATTTCTGATTTGGGAAATAATCCAGAAGTGACAAATCGCGTCTTAATCAGCTCAAGACCCGACCTCGAAACTTGAAACTCGAGTTCGAGATATTGTGCTCAGCGTTCGGGCATAGGGAGAGTCTTCGGGCTGGTGAAGACGCACCGGACAAATAGCAGGATATTTTTCCACATAGCTGCATATTTTGCAAACTTGCCCAAGGTATCTTGGGATGATTATCTTGGCCAAATATCCCGCTAATTGCAACTTTGGGCTGATGATGACGCAAATTAACTGGATAATTTGTGATCGGGATAGTTGAAATAGCAGGATATTTGGCAATCTCGAGCTGATGATGACAGGCCTACTAAGTAACTTCTCTACACAACTCACTTTAAATTTAGCTAGGTTTACATGACAGACCATGAACTTAGATTAGAAGTTTAGCTGGTGCTTTTAAACTTTAAGGTTGTATCTTGTAGACTAGGACAGTGTGGACACACTTGTAGTTTGGGGAAGTTTAATGGAAGTGTTAAAACACAAAAGATCATACGTATTGAGTTCATGTACTGTACATGTACCACTCACTCACAGTTATATGATTATAAAAGCATTTTCCTGTATTCTTTTAGGACGCTCGGGGAAGTGATTATAATCCTAATGGAGATGCAGAATAAGGAACAGATGTCTTTTTAGTCAACATCAAACTTGAAGTTGGAAGAAGTTCAGCCTGCTTCTTAGTTGTGGAAACAAAGTTAACATTAACTCCAGAGGTGTAATAAGAACTGTCACCTTATTTGGGCTTGTTCTCATATACTGCAGTAAAACGCCCCTAGTCTACCAAAACAATTTTATGACCCAATACGGTATACAAATGACTTGCAAGTGGAGATGAAAAAGTAGCTGTGCGCAACAAAGGTTCCATGCATCTACGTGTTATAAGAAACAAAAATGTTTAAATGCACTACAATGAAAAGAATGAAAATAAAACCTGCTGTGATCCACCACATTTTAACACAACCCATGTGATCAAGCCTTAAGCAGTGTCTTCGGTTAAGATAGACTCCTCATCCATGTTAAGCAACGTTTTAGTCCCTGATTCTCCCTGTACGTACTACATTGTAGACTTGTCTGCGATCCATATTCTGGAAAACTTTTTCCTATTAAAAGGACTGTAAAGATCCAAGTCATCTTTGCACAGCACCTTATTGTACAAGTTTTATATTTACCAATAATTACACCATTAGGAAGAATAAGCATGAATTTGTCATCCTCTGAACTGAAGTGAGGAATACTTTTTTTAATATCTATATTCCAGAGTGCTGGCTCAGTCAGTAGAGCATCCGCCTCACAACCGGGAGGTCGTGGGTTCGAACCCCGGCTGCGTCATACCAAAAGACATTAAAAGATGGGAGTTGCTGCTACCTTGTTTGGCGTTCAACAATAAGGGATAGAGCAACGTCGATCTGGTGCTGCTCAGTGGCTGCCGGGCTCACAATCAATTGGGCAAAAAGAATTTCGGTTTCGGTTTAATAAAATTTGGAGTGGACTATTAGGCTATTATTATTATTATTATTATTATTATTATTATTATATTATATTGAGAGGGCCTTCGGTCCTGAAAAGCGCTATATAAGAACTAGCTATTATTATTATTATTATTATTATCACGATTGATATTAGACAGAGTAATCACCTTTACCAAGTGTGTTTAATATTGAAAAATTCAAAGCACCTTGTGTGGTGGATAAGAGTGCTATAAAGATATCCAGTATTACTAATGTTAACAAAGCAAATGAAACTATTTGTGTTGTTACTTACTGGGTCTGTGAGCATGGATCTTGCATGTGATACTGCAGCGAAGATAGCAAACATATTGAAGAGGATTCCATGGATGACTGTGTAGGGCTGGATCCCTGCCGGTAGTAACAGCACCACGTTGACAGCAAACTGGCCGTAGCCAATCAACAGATAGGTCATCACAGCACAGATGATACCACATGGATCCTGTTTATGAAGAAAAAAAGTGAATAATTAGTGAGCTTTTTTACCATTTCAAAGATACACTTTCACCATAACCAGTTCAGACAATTACATACTAAATTCTCTCATTCTCTCTCTCTCTCTCTCTCTCTTTCTTTCTTTCTCTCTCCCTGCCTGCTTCCCCCTCCCTCTCCCTCTCTCTCTCTCTCTCTCTCTCTCTCTGCCTAACTCCCTCCCTCTCTCTCTCTACCTATGAGCTTTGGAAGTTGCAATGTTTTTTCTCGACATAAACATATAAGCAGTGAAACTTTCAAATAGTACACCTGGGTCATGAAAGATAAAATGCATAAATTGCCTTTTCTGAGGAAACAGTTTTGCTCAAAAACTCTAAACATCTTTAACAAATAACAAGTATGAAAAAATACCATGAAACCAGGATTAATAGCTCTCTATCAATTCACCATTATCTGCACATAAACATTTCAAATTCCGTACTTTTATCACTGAGCATTAAAAACTTAGGCTTTTGCTTTAGAAAGCTTGCTGTATTTATAGCTTGTTACATATTTACTCAACCTTTCGCTACGAAAAACAAGAAAGGCCTGAAGAAAACCTCATAATCAGCCATGAACCCTACAAAGATAACTATCGTCAATTCTAGAGTTGCCATGGTAAAGGCAGTTACTCGAATTACAAGGATGTGCTACAATGTACATACTCCTCCAATCTATAATAATAATACGCTAAGGCTCCGCGGGGGGCGCGACGTCTCGGCGAGCCTTTGTATTCTATTGTTTTTTAATGAGATCGCCGACCGAAGTTGGTGCGGCTATCTCCTCCTGAACCCTGCCCTCGGGGTACCCGTGCCCGGTGCCGTCGTCCGCGGGAGAGTCTACTCTAGCGAATTGGCTATACTCCGCCCGAGGTCCTCCTCCGTGTCGACGTCCAGGGCGAAAACAGACGCGACATGCATAATGCAGGATATGCGTGACGACAGAGATACCTCATGGATATTCAACATTACATCCGTAGACACACGACCGATGACTATCCGTATAAAATTGTATACACAAAAATCGGTCGTAAAAGAACTCGAACCATATTCCATACCTTACCTGGCTTACCATGTCGCACGCAAGTACGCCAAAACACGTACATTTTCGCAGTTGCGAGATCGAGACGGAGCGTAGGGCTCGAGTTTTTGGCGGTCGATTTTGATTTGGTAGAAGCTGAATCTAGACCATGAACCACTAAACATCGCGAAACTGCAATCAATTTCCATCACGAATTCACGATTGCTGCAATATTATAAAGTTTCCATAAATAGAGGTATGAAATTAAAGCCTATTTTGTGATGTTCTCGCCATGTTTACGTAATTTTGATAATCATTTCTTCAAAGTAAAGAAAATCAGACAAAATCACCGTAACTGACACGCATACAATACAGTGCATTGCCACTGTGTAGTGTGTGTGAGATGAGCTGAGTTGCAGTTAAAAGTGTGTGAGTTGAATTCGAGTCGAAGAGATTTGACACTTTGAAATTGTTATCTGTTGGTTTGCATCATTATTGCCGCGATTTCAATATAGTTTCGTGAATAGATTTACGAAACCTGAGCTTAGAATTAGTAAAAGTATTACTAGACTCTAATGTCTACGTTTTTAAAAGACTGTTTGATTTTCCTGTGAAAATTTTACTTTGAAAAATGATTATCGAAATTCATGGTCAGAAATAATCACAATCTAGGGTCTATTATGTTACAGTTCTTGCATCAAATCAATGCATGAAAACTTAGTTATTGAACTAGAAAATGTTTTTTTTTTTTAAATAGGCAATTATGAAGTAGGAAGCCTGAAACCTAATAGCCTACTAAACAAATCTCAACAAAGTGTAGGCCTATCCTTATATGAATTAATGAAAAAGTAGCCCCAGAAAAAAGAGCCCCAGAAAATTTCCCTAAAATTTGAAATGGAGCCCCCAAAATGAAAAACTTAATTTTTTGCCTGCGCACCCCCTCTAGAATCCCGCGGATTTCCGCGGGTCCTGAGTTGAGTGTATATATAATATAGGCGTGGGGTCCACGGGTTTCAAGGGGCCATAAACCCCCGAAAGCTCGGGGGTTTTAGGCGTATAGGGTCAGATGAGCATATTTTTAATACTTTATTTGTGACACTTGCGGGTCACTAATTGGCGTGGGGTCAATACGTAGAGTTGCGTAGTGTTGCGTAACAACTACGCTGGCCTACGTTACTATATGCTGAGGGACGGAAAGGGGTACGCAAGATGAACGAAAACAATTCAACCTGTTTAATTTTTTTCGCCAGCCTACGCATAACCTACGCAGGGACTATTTCCCCATTAATACGCAGCCTAATTTCTGCGTAGTCGGTACGCCACACTACGGAACTCTACGCAGTTCCAGTGGCTTAAAGAATAACTACCGGTACAGTTGGATCGTTTTTTTAATTTTTATATAAGGCCAAATTAAAAAAAAAACATGTTTAGCTTCCTGTTTTTTCGAAAAATGGGAAGGAGGAGGCCCTTTTTTTTAATTTTTATTTTCTTTCAAAATGGCCGCTCCGTACATTTAAGATGGCGGCCGACAATTTTTTTTTTTCTTTTTTAAAATCAGAAATACATTTTAGCAGTGCTTTTCATGTTTTTTTTCTTTCAAAAAAAAAAATAAATAAATAAATTTTTAAAAAATAGGAGGTGGCCCCCAAAAAGGAAGCAGGCGGGAACGCTGTTTTTTTTCTTTCAAAAATAAAAAAAATAAAAAAATAAAATACTTTAAAAAAAAGCGGGCGGGGACGCTAAACATGTATATTTTTTTAATGGCCTGAATGGCAAATAAAGTTCTTGGTGGTTTTAATTTAGACAGTCTCTATATATCTATTTACACCCCCCGCCCCCCTCTAGAATCCCGCGGATTTCCGCGGGTCCTGCTAGTTTCAAATAATAGCACAAGAGCTCCAAAGTACAGTACAACTACTCCCCCCCCCCCCCCTCTCTCTCTCTCCCTCTCTCTCTCTCTCTCCCTCTCTCTCTCCTTTATAGCCCTCTAGAACAAGGGTTAATAGCACCCGGGGTCATTAGAGCATGCTTCTATGATGGCTCCAACCAACAATTTATGGTAATTACCTCTCTGACTAGCCTCTCGATAGATGAATAATTGATTACAAATTTGGAATCATATATCAAAATGTACACTGGAGTATTGCTTTTGTATTGCTTTGATACATTGTTAAAATAATGCCTTTAAGGTAACTGTGTCATCCAAAATTGGTACAAGCATTCTACATGCATGTTGAAATCATGGAATACGATCAATTGTTATGTACTATATTGTCTCATACAATTCAATATGCTGATGTAGGCTAACTGTGACTCTGTAGTACTTTAAAGTCAAAACAAATTTGAAGTGTATATCAAAGCGGTTTATAGCCCTTAGGTAAAAACGGGCCCCGAAATGTGTTGGTGATTCTGGGTAGATAATTCTGTTACTTTTCGGGTCTCCGAGACAAGGAACGTGGGTGAGAGTATTGGATGGTATTTGATGCTGCAGAGGGATTCTCTAGATCCTACTCTAATGGGAGAGTGATGACATTTCCAACAAGAGGCAAATGTACACAATGTTCTCTCCACATTTTTTTTTTCTTCTTTGACATTTGGCTTCTTTTTTTCTCCATCTGCCCCAAATAAATTGTACATGTTTCATTATGCACCAAGCCACCAACTGTCACCAATTTGTCACAAATTGTCCACATGCAACCTAAATGTAGGTCTTCGTGTACACTGATAATTGGAGGATCGTTGATCTTTTAATTATGCAGCACAGTCTTCTTTTCAATGTAGAGTCATAAATAATCACAGATGTACAGTAGATGTCAATACCATGCATTTGCCATGAACTAAAAATACTGGAAGTAGACTCTTCAAGTAATTTTGTTTTGTTTTGTTGTTTGTTTTTACTCTAAAAGGCTTGATCAGATGTCGCAGTAAACTACAATGGTTTTTGTTTACATATATAAACTAAATGAATGAATAGTGGGGATGTAAAAAGTAGGCAGCATGCAACAAAGGTTCTTGACATACTAACTTATCTAGATCTGTTGTAAAATAGTAAAACATATAGTGCAGTAGTCCTCACGGTTAATTTCTGCGGTTCACAGCAGCATATTATGTGAATAAGCTCAAATCTTAAGAACATGAATCCTTTCGAAATGAAAAGTAGAAAAATCCTTATTATAAATTTTCCTTTCTGGAACACTTTCAATGTCTGCTTGATATACCGGTAATGTATAAATAGGCTGCTAGTACACTCCTGTCAATGCCTGTATGTACAGTATGCATAACATCTACAAGAAGCAGACATCATACCTATAGCCTTAAAAGGTTACCAAAATAACCTTGATGCCACCTCGTTACCATGACAACAATCTACAATGTACCTGCAAGGGTATGAGAATTGTAACTCATCTTTTGCATTCATTTGCACGAAAGTGCCGCCTTGCTAATTGGTGCAACCTCCCCGTCTAAGCCCAAGCACGTCCCCTATGGCTACTTGTATTGGAGCGGAACACTAACCTTGACTTGTAATAAAAAACTCACCCCAGGAAAAAAGGAAAATAGAAAAAAAAAGCATTCCTATTCCTTCATACCCTCTCTTGAGAGCCAGAATGGGCATTAACTCTTTAACGTGAATTTCACCTGAATTTCTGCGATTCACAACATTTTCCCCATCATGAAAACTGCAGTCATATTCACTTTGTGAAGTTTATATGTCTTGGAGGTTTCTAGTTTCCAGTACTTGGCTACTGCAAGAGCAATGAATCTTGAAACTGAAAATCAATCTAATGAAATTCAAAGATGTACAAGAAACTGACATCTTCCCTGGTCAGACTTGATATATTCCTAGAGAATGACTTCCAGCTTGTGGATGGTATGAATTGTACCTCTTAAAACCATATCCTGCTACAACGCAGAATTGTAAACTTAGCGAGTGCCCTAGTTTTAAAGTACAAGCTGAGTAATGAGATATTAGATTACATGTACAGTGTATATCAAAGGGAGATGTGGGCATACATGTAGCTGATTGCATTTGTTGACTGGCAACAAAACTATGTGAGTGCATCAGACATTGGATTTCAGCTATGCATAATATCAGTATGCTACAAATATACTGGAGGCGCACACAGGTAGTTAATTTCATTCAACTGAATTGTATTGTATTACTTTATTTTATTTTGTTGCTTTTAAGTTATTGAACATGTTGAATAATTATAACGAGTTAGACAATACCACCTGTGAGCTTAGAAACGCCTGTATTCAGTGTCCTATCAATGACTTTTTGTTGTTGCTCTGTTTCTCTTGTTTTTCTGCATCTATTAAAGGCCCACTGCACTACTTGTAGCTACTTGCGCCCTCTATATAACAAACAATGCCTAATCGGTGACCATTGGTCCCCCATGATCCTCTTTTTCTTATGTTAACTGAGAGCTGAGTTGATGAGATAACCACCTGTCCAGTGACCTTGCAGGGCGCTCTAATCCCTCCTGTAAACTATGGCAGATAAGCTTTAAAGGCAAATTATTTTATGAGTGGACAAAGCCTTTAAACAACAAAGAAGAGGAGGAAGTATGTATGAGCATGAAGCCCAAGAAGAGAGCAAGCTCACTTATCTCCTCTACTTTACTCATCTGTGCACAGGCGTAACCCCCATCTATTCTAATCATGTTAGATAACTTCCCAATATTTCAGCCAAATGGAAAAATGGATCAGGTTACTTATGAAATCTAGGAGAAGCCTGCAAGCCCTGTAACTGAAATCCATTTCATTCTGTTATCTCTTCATTTTCTCTGAATCTCTGTCTCTCTCTCTCTTCTCCTTAGATTGCCGACCAGGATTCCATCTCAACAAATAACCACCAGGAAAGGGCAAAGGAAAACATATGAGGGGATATCACAGGAAAGTCACGTCCCTTGCCTGGGAAAAATTGTGAATTGGTGCTTAATATTCGTTGAAACAGCTAGGGTTTCGTCCTTCCAGTGAAATTGCCCCAACGCCATAGAAGCAAAGGCAAACAGGCAAAGCAATCTTCCTGATCCAAATAATTGCTACTGAGCTACATCTCTGTTGACATCCCAAACAACAACCAGTTTCATGGTCAAGTATGCATTTTTGGTCTCTCTTTCCTGACAAAGCGAATGTAAATTGTAGTTCCCAATTTAGTTGGCAGCTGTAAACCCATCCCTACACCTCAAGATATGACAGAGATATCAACAAGATGCGAGTGTAACCTTGGATGCAGAGTGTAGAAATGAGGCTAGGTAAAGTTTCTTATGAACTTAGCAGTGGCATAAGATTGAAAGTCTGATACCCATTTTTTCTTTTTTGATATCCCAGTATAAGATATTATCCCCAAATTCTACAAAATATATGTAGGAAATCGTAGGCCTGCGATATAAAATATTTATGTATTATTAGTTATTACGTTGTGGAGGGTGTTCTATAAATCACAATTGGTCAAACAAGCAGTATGGTCTTGTACTACTAGTTTAAGTAGATTCACATTGTTTGCACTAGATATCAACACAGCTGGCTATATATTCAAAGACACATTAAAGACACATTATGTGACAGAGGCATGACATTTAAAATCTGTAGAATTAAGAATAGGAAATATCAATCAAGAAGTTCTTTGGTGGCCAAAATAAGAGAAAGTCTCAACATACTGTAAGCGCAGTTGTTTGATATGGTATTTTTTTTTAACTCACATCAAACTGACATCTATACATGTATATGTATGTCGACAGAAGAAAATTTCAATTACAACATAGTTCTTCCTTTAATACACAAAATTACCCCAAATGTACAGTATGTGAACATATTGTACATGTATACATGTATGAGGCTGTTCACACCGGCAGAGATAGCGCGCGCTAGACCGCGCTATCTCTGCGGTTTGGAAGGTACAACGTCGTTTCGGTCCGCCCAACAGCGAGCCACTGGAGCACCTCTTGGGGGTGGTCCACGAGAGATAGTGCGGTCTAGTGCACGCTAGAAAAAAGGGGGTGCTACGATAGACCGCGCTATCTCATTGCGGTGTGAACAGCCTCTAGGTCTCCTCAATTTGCCGTTGCAAGTGATGCATACAGACAAAGGACCCTTTTACAGTACCGGTAATCAATTTAATCCCTATTTACAGTGTGTACCTGGAAACTTACAACATGAAGTTTATGAACAACATTTCCAAGGATAAGTATTGAGTTCAGTTTTAGCTCTATTTATTAGTCAGGTAATGGGAAACAAAAGATATGGTATAACTTATAAAAAAAACAGCCAAAATACATGCGGACCAAAAAAGTAAAGCTTACATGAAACTTGAATAAACCATTGGAAGTAATCTAACATGATTTTAGTTTAGAAATAGAAGTAATGTAATATATAAAGTTTTTGCTACACAAAATGTTACACGGTAGCACAATGAATGTACACAATTTCAATTATAGATCTGTAAACATGTGTCCACACAATATACAATACAATTTTTGTTTTCTCATGGGAATACTTTTATTTTTGTCTCTTATGATGGAAGAGGCTCAGGTAGTAGCAGTAACTTTGTTCTTTGATTGCCTACACAGAAGAGAGACATCAATCATGCTCAGTTTTCATACTGGTAGAAGATAAATAAATGTATACAACAAATCCCTGCTGTACTTCGAACATTTCCCAAACCTGCAATGTCATAAAATATTACCTGCACAAGGATACATAAAAGTTCCATATCCTCCTCCTCCTTTTCTTCTCTTTTTTAATTTTTTTAATTTTTTTTATTTTATTCATCTATTTTTTTAAATATTCCTAGCAGAAAGAATGTCCTCAAAATCACATTTCTGAAGCTGCAAAATGGTACAAATAAAATGTGTTACACATTCATACATAAATTACAATTAATTCCATATTAATTTTTTTCAATTTGAAGTTCATAAGGAGAAGAATGGTACCCATATTACCAAATACCCATTTTTCAGAACTTTAAACACATCAGTATTTCTTACTCATCTACATACATAACCTTCACCACTGTGATTCTCATATTTGTTATGACTTTCTATTGAAGCACGGCCCACCGAAGATTCAGTTCCTCTTTAACACCAAAAGTATGATTTCCAACAATTTTTAACTACTTCTAGAAAACTGTTCATAGATTACCCCCCCCCCCCCACACACACATCTCTCTCTCTCTCTCTCTCTCTCTCTCTCTCTCATAGGTGCCGTATCTACCATCGTTGGCTCTCACGCTATTCCATAACTCTCTGTTTCCTTTTACATAATAATACAAAGATGTGGTATAAAATTGGTTTATCATTATTATCACTATTAATACATACACTGTAAAAACAACACAGGACAATGACACCAACAGACAGAAGAAAGAGGGGTTGAGAAAAATCCAATAAAATAAAAGCTTCCCAGTTTTGAAGTTATGACTTATGAATTTGTAAAGTTGTGATGTGATAAATCAAAATTATCAAACACGAATTGGAGGACAGTTCTTTCATTGCAAGCTTCTATTTTTTGTGGAGAAAAAACTCAAACTTGGGCTGTTAGGCATGTACAGGTATTAGGACATTCAATATGATTTAAAATGCCTCCCCCCCCCCCCCTATAAAAGAGATCTTTTTGCTCTACAAACAAAAATAGGGATACCTTATAATTTCCTGAAAATAGAGGGCTAGATGGAGGGCTACTCAAACAAAAAATTGTGGGAAATTGCCATTTTGTATTAATTTTCATCAATCATAACTAAGAAAAGTCATAGCATATCTATCATTGGATTTCCCTTAATATTTCACTGATCTGCTTCCCTCTCTTTATTTCTCTCTCTCTCTCTCTCTCTCTCTCTCTCTCTCTCTCTCTCTCTCTCTCTCTCTCTCTCTTTGCCTTTATCAAGGGCAACTTGATAATAGAGTGGACTTCTCCTATTCATGTACACTTTGCATTATGCAAATAAATTACCTGTACATGTATGTGGTAAGCTTTACTACAATGCAATTTAACAAAACAAGTCAGAGAAAAGAACTCTTTATATTACCTCTGTCGGATAAGTTAAAGACAATATTTTCCCCTACAAGCAATCCACACTGGTAACATATTTTAAAGGTAAAGACCAGTTATGGTCATGCGATTGCATTGTGAAAGAAACGTTGTGGAATCGATCAGAAAAGGTTGATCATCTATCATCTAGCATCTGCAAGGTTCTGGAATCATCAAAATGATAAGAAATTTGGCCCATTCTTCGTAAAGTTACAAGCACTATACACAGAAAGATGTATATGGGACTACCCTATATCTCTCACAGTCCATGAGAGAAACAAATTTACCAAATATATGAATTAGTAGGCGGTTTCCCGGCAAATTTGTTATCATCATGTATTAGTCAAAACATATTCTCTCACATGATTGGTAATAAGAGCTTCCATTTCATTTTTTGAAATTGGGGCGTTTCCAATACTGGTCTTTACCTTTAAGATAAATATTTGTATGCCTACCTTGATAAACCATGATTTGTCTAATTTGATTAATCTTGTAAGTCCACAGCAGCGGCAGCATTTATTGCTGGATTTAGACCGAGCCATAGCAGCCCGTTCCACATCGGAGCTGACGGCACTGGGGCCAGGATGGAGCGGTTCTAACCTCAGACTCATCTTCTTCACTTCAGTTCATAGAAATCCTTTGAGTCAAAAAAACCTAAATGGGTCAGAGGAAGAAACAAAATTAGTGACACTGGTTCAGTGTAATGCTAGGCTAGTTCAGACATGATGCACAGCATTATTTTTATGATGTAAAGTGCAATATTTCTTTATCTTATAGCATAGAGCTCTGTGCCGACAGCAGGCCTGGGTGTGAGTGCGTGAACAATAGGGACCGTAATGATTATCATCAATTCATAATGTGAATTACTTGCACAAATTTAATCAGGATCTGAGATTACAGCCGCTAACTTCACGCACGCACCCCGGCCTACTGTTGGTTTGCACTTGTATTGTGCAGCAGTTTGCCGTGAAACCTGTGAGAAAGTGTATACTAATGTCTTTGTTTTGAGGGGAAATACTCCCCAAAAAGATAGGAAAATTGACAAGATACAGGTAAGAAAGAGGACTCCAACATGATTTACTGCACGAGCTCGACACTATGCTATGAGAATAAGGGACTAGGTGAGAGACTACACTACACCAAATATGTCACGTGATCTCCTCGAAGCTCATAGATATTCATACTCTTATGTCGCAATAGACTTATTTTTGTCTATTCTTGGCTTGAAAATGATGTCACCTTTCACAGTTTTCCCTCTCACTTTGAGATGAATGTAGCTATGGGGCTCAAATCAACGCAATATTGACATAAACATCGTCTACTATCTATATTCCGATGACCATCTTGTAAAAATCTGTATTTAAAAAGATATCATCTTTTTTATTTATATTTTCTAGTAGTTAAAAGTGGCATTGTTGGACATCTGACATTTTAATCGCTATCAAAAGTTCTTTGACTGAAGTTAGATCCCATATTTTTGGGGTCTACCTGTTGCCAATAACGTAAGGTTCATATGAGAAGGATTTTAGTGACCAACCTAACGCGTTGGGTCCCAAATCTGCCTGTGATACAGTACTACTAGCTTAAAAATTGATGAAGATTTACTAAATTACAATCTTTATTGAGGTAAACTTCCTGTAAATTTATAAGAATATTGAAGAATTTGGTATCAGTTTGTAGAAAAAATAGTGTTCTACAAGAAAATTACAATTATTTTGTTCGGTCCTTTATTTTCCACTTTTTTTTTTTTTTTTCTTCTTCTATGAAATTTCAAAGTGGAGGGTGCGGCCTTATTGCCGGCAAATACGGTAGATATTTTTATTTTGTATTTTTCTTTCTGGAAATTGGCTGAATTGGACGACGAGCGCACAAATCGTAGGCGCAGAAGCCTCACGCCCGGGTATTGGCCTCCCTACAGTTAGTTCTTTCCTGCCAATTTTGATTTTTATTGAATTTTTAAAGATTGCATGTTTTTATTTCAACTGCATCGTTGGTTCGTAAGCACATTGGTGGCTCGATTTCAGGATTGCGGTGCGGCTCGTCTGACATCATTGTGTGTGACCGATTCAAGACTAGCAACTCTTCTATCGTGCAGAATTTAAATGTCATTTTGGACTTTGTCCCAGCGACGACACGCCCATTCCCTTGGGCCTGTCTAATTCTGAACGTATATTGACCATGAAATTTAAGTGTTTCAAGGCTCTTACGGACGGATTAATTAGCGTAGAAGGAATCCCCAACTTTGGAGCTAAATATCTCCTATTTTATGACACTTCTGGAGTCGTCAGATGGCCGACGGGGGAGTTGTCTAGATCTATTAATTGCTTTCCTAGTTCTAACATTTCATTGAGAAATGCCTAATTAATTTTAGATTTTGGTATTTTCTATTTGTTAAGGTTTTCTTAGGGATATGGGTGCCAATCAAGGCTTTGTGATATCAATATCATATTTCATAGTATCACCTATGCTAGCCCATAACTCGTAAGGCTAACTTAGCGCTAGTTTATAATGCAAGCACAACTTCACAACAGACACACAACTCACAAGCAGTGAAGCACGCAAATCACAACACGCAAACTCCAACAATAAAATCAATGAATGGGTCCATGATGAATGTTTCGCTCTACTAGCTGCTAGCTGCTACCATGGCAGTACCACGTCAATATTGAGCAATGTTGAGAAAAATATTGGAAAATAAAATAATTTTGCTTACTAATAGGACGAAGGTGATCTACAGGGTTCCTAAAATCCTGTTTTATTCTCCAGAGATGCTTACAGTGCATACACTGACTGGTCAGCAAGTTGATACTACTGAGCCGATCGCCTGACAAAACTCAAACTGAGGTGACGTCATTGACGAAAACACATCGAGCGATCGAGCTAGCTAGCTGCATTTCCGCCGCGCACGCGACGAGGCGATGTCATCAAGCTTGTCGCTCTCGCTCGCAGCTGGCTAGCTACTCGCTAGCTACACATAATAATAATATAAAGCAAAACTTTGAACTTGAAGGAAGGAAGAGACTTGGATGGGGACGGGGTTGGAGCCCTCTCCCACTATATGCATAGGCGCCGGAAGTACGCAGGATTTTTTCAAGGGGGGGGGGGGGGTTTAACATTTATAAATCGGGTCGAAAATTTCGCAACGACTCAGCCAGCCGCTGAATAAGCGGGGGGGGGGGGGGGGGTGATGGGGGGTTTACACACATAAAAATACCAAAAGGGGGGTTTAACCCCCCCCCCCCCCCCCCCCCCCCCTGTATACGCGCCTGCTTGGATCCACATCAACTGCTTGATATTGTGTCCCCAATATACTGGAATGTATTATATGCCATTTATAAAGGTATATTGTATATAACATCGGAAAGGAATCGTTAATTTCAATCCCTTGTTAACTTCATTGACTAAATTTTAGATTTTCCCGAGTTTTCATTTATCTTGCACCAATAAAAAAACGGCTTGTCAAACCTACTATAAGTGATCACCTCTCGATCGCAGTGCTCCCTGTAGGTAAAATGTATACGAAATTGTGTTTTCAATGGTTAAAACACGCAACAACAAAAACTATTACTCGGTCGCTTTCCTCCCTCGTTGCAAAGTAAGGTTGATAAGTTTGGGCCGCGGGCAAAATTTCGTTCAGTCCTGGGCGCCATATAATACTTAAAAACAGGGGTGTATATATTAATAGTGATCAACGTAGAGGCCAGTATTACCACACAGGGTGTTTGCCAGATAGAGTACGGCTACAAGTACGGAACACGAAGGCTAACAGTGCGTCCCGGAAAAAAACGAGACCGAGAATTATCGATGTTTTATCAAAACTTAATCACGATTATGATTAGTACATGGCATCAGGCGCGGATCCAGGGTGGGGGGGGGGCACGAGCGGGCCTTGCCCCCCCCCCCAGCAAAAAAAAGAAGAGAGAGAGAAAAAGAAAAGAAGTGAAAGAGGGAAAGAGGAGAGAAAGGAAAAGAAAGAAGAGGATCGAAGAAGAATATAGAAGGGGAAACAAGAGATCGGGGGCCGAAAGGGCGTTGCCTTTGCCGCCGCCCCCCCCCCCCCCCATCAAAAAATAAGAGAGAAGGAAGGAAAGGGAAAGAAAAAGGAAAAGAGGAGATAAAGGGAAGGAAAAAAGAGGAAGAAGAAAACAAGAAGAGGGATATCACTTATCAGATGCAATTTCCCGCCAACATGTGGATCGGGGGGGGGGGGGGGGAGGGAGGCAAAATGGCGTACTGATAGGGGAGGGGACTTGGGGGAATAACATTCAAACGTGGTTTATTTTTGATTCCATAACGGTGATTTACAAATAATCCTGAAATTACATAATTTCTGAGATTTTACTTAAAATTATACTTTTTTATGCGTTTGTTGGAAATGACAAATTTCTTAATTTACAGTCATGCAAAAAATATGCTTATGTCAAGGTCCGCGAGGCGGCGAAGATCGGGAGGCTCGAGCTCCCCCCCCCCCCCCCCCCCCCCCTCAATCTTTTTTTGAAAAAGTATACTAAAGAGAAATAGAAAGAAAGAGAGCAAGAAAGAAAAAATAGTTTACTGCCAGTGTCACAAAATAATGAGGTTTCAAAATATGCTCATCTAACTGTGATTAAATGCCTAAAACCGCTGAGCTTCCGGGGGCTCTGCCCCCTGGATTCCACCTAGGGCCCTAAAGCGGGCCCTTAGATGCTCATCTGACGCTAATTTAATGCCTAAAACCCCTGATTTATGGGGGCTCCACCCCTGGACCCTACACCAAATAATGTCCTGCCAGTGTCACACAAAAATAAAGTATAAAAAAAATGCTCATCTGACCGTAATTAAACGCCTAAAACCCCTGAGCTTCCGGGGGCTCTGCCCCCTGGAACCCCCAAAAGGGCCCTAAGGCGGGCCCCTTGATATTCGTCTGACCGTAATTTAATGCCTAAACCCTGATTTATGGGGGTTCCACGAATCCTCTTCTTTTTCTATTCATTTAATGAAACGTCAAAACTTACGCGCTTCGCGCAGGAGGAAAAAAATAAAAATAAATTCAGAGAGTCGAGAACGGAACAACGAATTTTCTACTTTCTCTAATAATTTGATGAAACGTCAAAGCTTCAGCGCTTCGAGCGGGAGGGGAGGGGGAACTGAATTAAGACGAGGATTAAGAGTCGAGAACGGTACAACGAATCGTCTTCTTTCTCTAATAATTTAAGGAAACGTAAAAGCTTCCGCGCTTCGCGCGTGAGGAAGAAAACTAAATTCAGACGAGGATTAATTAGGAGTCGAGACCCGTACAACGAATCGTCTTTTTCTCTCATGATTCGATGAAACGTAAAAGCTTCCGCGCTTCGCGCGGGAGGGTGGAAAATGAATTCAGACGAGGATTAATTAGAAGTCGAGACCTGTACAACGAATCGTCTTTTTTCTCTCATGACTTGATGAAAGAAAACTAAATTCAGACGGGGATTACTTAGGAGTCGAGAACCGTACAATCGTCTTCTTTCTCTCATGAATTGATAAAACGTAAAAGCTTACGCGCTTCACGCGGGACGGTGAAACTGAGTCCAGACAAGGATCAAGAGTCGAGAACCGTACAACGAATCGTCTTTTTTTCTCTCATGATTTGATGAAACGTACAAGCTTCCGCGCTTCACGCGGGAGGGTGAAAACTGAATTCAGACGAGGATTAATTAGGAGTCAACAACCGTACAACGAATCGTCTTCTTTCTCTCATGATTTGATGAAATATAAAAACTTCCCCGCTTCGCGCGGGAGGGAAAAAACTGAATTTAGACGAGGATTAGAGGTCAAGAACGGTACAACGAATCGTCTTCTTTCTCTAATCATTTAATAAAACGTCAAAGCTTACGCGCTTCACGAAGGAGGGGGAAAATTAAATTCAGAGAGTCGAGAACGGTACAATGACTCGTCTTCTTTCTCTAATAGTTTAGCGGGAGGGGGGGGGACTGAATTCAGACCAGCATTAATTAAGAGTCGATCGAGAACGGTACAACGAATCGTCTTCTTTCTCTAATAATTTAAATGAAACTTCGCGCGGGAGGGGGGAAGGGCGGGCGCAGATCCAGGGTTTCTTAGGGGAGGGGGCCCAACTTTTTTTTTTTGATCCCGAAAATTTGAAAATAATCGTGCCGGCCGAAAAGTCGCTCAGTGGGGGGGGGGGGGGGGGGGGGGGGGGGGAGGGGGGGGGGGGGGGGGGGGGGTAGTGAGCACTACTTTTTTTTTCTTTGCTCCCGAAAATTTGAAAATTGTCTTCTCTCTCTAATAATTTAATGAAACGTCAAAGCTTCCGTGTTTCGCGGAGGAGGGAGGGGGAAACTCGCCCCTGCCTGCACCCACACCCCTATTACGTCACTCAGGGGCGTACGCAGGATTTTTTCAAGGAGGGGGGGGTTTAACATTTATAAATCGGGCCGAAAATTTCGCAACGACTCAGCCAGCCGCTAAAGGGGGGGGGGGGGGGGGGGGGGGGGGGGGGGGTAAGAGGACACTTTTTTTGGTCCCAAAAAAATCGCAACGACTCAGCCGACCGCTGATTTTTTTTTTTTTTTTGGTCTCGAAATTTGAAAATTTGACATTTCGCTCCACTGGGGGGGGGGGGGGGGGGGGTAAGGTCACCTTTTTAGGTCAGCCATGGGAATAATTTTTTTTTTTTTTTTTTAATAATTAAAAAAAAAAATCCAAAGGGGGGGGGGGTTTAGGGGGCTGATGGGGGAGGGGGGGGTTAACCCCCAAACATCCCCCCCCCCTGTGTACGCGCCTGACGTCACTGATGGTCATCATTACATACCTATATTTTTGGCTAGCATAATTTAAATTTGGGCCCTGGATCCGCGCCTGCCCGACACAGCAACATATTAACCCGTGTCTTTCTTGCTCCCTCGACGAGACGACTCCACCCAACAACCTCCCTCTCTCGCTTTTACTCCCACTCCTCCTCTCTCTGGCTCTTACCTCCCCCCTCTCTCTCTCTCCTCTCTTTCATTCCCCGTTTCTTTTGTTTCCCTTTTACTCTTCTTTCTTCTTTTTTTTCCTTTTCTTTCTTTTCTTTCTTTTCCTTTCTTTCCTCTCCTCCCTCCTTTTCTTTTTTCTATTTCTGCCTTCTTTTTTCTATCCTTTCTTTTTCTTTCTTTCCTTTCTTTTCCTTTCTTTCTTTTTTTCCTTTCTTTTTGTTCTTCTTCTTTTCTTTCCCTTTCCTGACGGCAGCGCAATTTTACCGACAATATCCTGACATATGTGGGGGTGTCGCACCCCCCCCACACTCCCCTGGCGCCCCTGACTTCTTGTACCTGAAAAGGGACACTCACTAGAAATGATAAGGGGCAGCTTAAAAGAATGTGGAACAGGAACGGGCACCTATTAACAAAGAAAATAAAAGAGAATATAGAAGGAGCGCCTATCTGAATTTAATAGGAGCAATTATCAAAGGCGAAAAGGTAGCACTCATATTAGACAGAAAAGGGGGCATGTATCATAATTAAAGGCCACCTCTGCCTGGCTAAGACAGAAAACTCCCAGGAGCAAATTTCACATAAAACAAGTACAAAACGAAACAGAAACAAAAACTTTTTTTTTTAAATAAAAATTTCAGCTAAGAAACGAAGGTTGTAAAAGTATAGATTTTGAAGGATACCGTAGCATCTAGTATTATAACATCGAATTGGTCGATTATTTTACTTGGTGATATTGTATGCATCACAACGTATTAAGCTTCGTGAATTCATCGACTATAAACAGGAATCTGGGCTAAGCATGTCAGCGTGTATATATAGCGCTGACGAAACTGACTCTGATCAATGCACTTTGCTTTACTTGTCGGCATTTTCAAGAAGAAAAGAAAGAAGCTATTTTAATCCTAAAATGGAAACTGCTAGGCTGAGAACGTGTTACAAACAACCGGTCTTAATGAAGTATATTCTAACAGTTTTGGAGGTAAGTTAACGTTAATTATTCCAGTATTTCATTAGCCCAAATAGATCTAATGCTGTCTCTTTCGTTCGTTAGCCTCTGATTTGGGTAGGGTCGGCTCGCTCCTCTCGAGCTCTCTGACTGACCCTACCCAAATCAGAGGCTAACGAACAAAAGAGACAGCAAATTCGAGCTAGGATTTCATTTGACTTAATTTTAGTTTGTCTTGTCATGATTCGATCTAGATCTAGACTGAGCTGACTTTGCAATCACACCAGTGCACCAGTTAAAACTAGAGGTCTAGGCCTAGATCTAGTGGGTAGGCAATCTTTTGGAACCTGTAGAGGTTTGCGCACGTCACTACGTAAAGGAAATGTTGACGCCCCCTAATGAATATGCATTATGCTTGTGCCGACACGGCGTGTGTACTGTCCGTTCACGCTGTGCATGCATATCTATCTAGGCTATGCCCGGCCCCCCCACTCAGAGGTCGGAATGACCGCATGCGTGTTGCCAAAATGTCCGGTAAAGGGGTACTTTTCGTGCGACAAAGTCCGGCCCGAGAATTGTAAAAAAAGGGGTGTATTTGAATTTCACCGGAGAGATTTCTTTAAAAAGGGGTGTTTTTCTTTTTTTCTCTCATCTCTTTGGACTCCTGAGAAATTATTCCGAATTTAGGGGGTACGTTGAGCATTTTTCCTGATTTAGGGGGGTCTCCAAGGCAGGAAAAGCCCGCGAAAAGCCCGCGAAAGGGGGGTTCGGAAATGTTGGCAGTCCTCAGATAGGGGGTGCTTTCAAAAAGAGGGTACGAGCATATGCGTACCCTAAATAACACTGAGTGGGGGGGGCCGGGAGGCTATGACAGCACATCTGCACTATAATACTGATTCAAGAAAGGGAATATATGTATTTCACTACACTTGTATTGTTTTGAATATATTAATTGCATCTATACTTGCATCAATTAAGTTAGTGCATATGCATCTAACCTGTTCCAAACTGCATTTGCGTGTCCCAAACTTATATCTTTTTCATAGGTGCATTGTTTGCATCAATCAAGTTATTGCATTGTACATGTTCCAAGCTGCCTTCTAGTTCTACGTGTTTCAAAATTTCTATCTTTCGGTAATTGTATTGTTTTGACTACACACTCCCATTATTCAAATTATTGCATTGTATATGTTCCAAGCTGCATTCTACGTGTACCAAAATGTATATCTTTTGGTATTTGTGTTGTTTTGCCTTCACACTCCCATCATCCAAATTATTGCATTGTACATGTTCCAAGCTGCATTCTACGTGTTCCAAATTTTCTATCTTTCGGTAATTGTATTGTTTTGACTACACACTCCCATTATTTAAGTTATTGCATTGTATATGTTCCAAGCTGCATTCTACGTGTTCCAAAATTTCTATCTTTGGTAATTGTGTTGTTTTGCCTACACACTCCCATCATCCAAATTATTGCATTGTACATGTTCCAAGCTGCATTCTACGTGTTCCAAATTTTCTGTCTATTGGTAATTGTGTTGTTTTGCCTACACACTCCCATCAATCAAGTTATTGCATTGTACATGTTCCAAGCTGCACTCTACGTGTTCCAAAATTTCTATCTTTTGGTAATTGTGTTGTTTTGCCTACACACTCCCATCATCCAAATTATTGCATTGTACATGTTCCAAGCTGCATTCTACGTGTTCCAAATTTTCTATCTTTTGGTAATTGTGTTGTTTTGCCTACACACTCCCATCAATCAAGTTATTGCATTGTACATGTTCCAAGCTGCATTCTACGTGTACCAAATTTCGATCTTTTGGTATTTGTGTTGTTTTGCCTACACACTCCCATCATCCACATGTTCCAAGCTGCATTCTACGTGTTCCAAATTTTCTATCATTTGGTAATTGTATTGTTTTGCCTACATGCACACTCCCATCATTCAAATTATTGCATTGTACTTGTTTCAAGCTGCATTCTGCGTGTTCCAAAATGTATATCTTTAGGGGATAATTTGTTTTGCCTACACACTCCCATCATCCAAATTATTGCATTGTACATGTTCCAAGCTGCATTCTACGTGTTCCAAAATGTATATCTTTAGGGGATAATATTGTTTTGCCTACACACTCCCATCATCCAAATTATTGCATTGTACATGTTCCCAGCTGCATTCTACGTGTTCCAATTGTCTATCTTTTGGTAATTGTTGTTTTGCCTACACACTCCCAGTTATTGCATTGTACATGTTCCAAGCTGCATTATACGTGTTCCAAAATGTATATCTTTTGGTAATTGTGTTGTTTTGCCTACACACTCCCATCATCCAAATTATTACATTGTACATGTTCCAAGCTGCATTCTACGTGTTCTCAATTTTCTATCTTTTGTAATTGGAATTGTTTTGCCTACACACTCCCATCATCCAAATTATTGCATTGTACATGTTCCAAGCTGCTTTCTACATGTTCCAAATTTTCTATCTTTGGGTTATTGTATTGTTTTGTCTACACATCACTCAGGCGCGGATCCAGGATTTTCTAGTAGGGGGGGGGGGGGGGGGGGGCGGAAATTTAAAAATTGCGCAGACCGTTTTTGTCCAACTCAATATACCAATACTGACAAAGTCATAATAGAAGCATCATACCGGTACATCGGGGGGGGGGGGGGGGGGGGGGGGGGGGGGCTATAGCCCCTTGCCGAAAAAGTAATTTTCTGGTTTCACAATTCGGCTAGTGAGCGAAGCGAGCGAGCAAAAATTTTAGCATATATGTATTTTGTGAAAGTGTTATTTGTCACCAAAATAAATGAGAAAAGATAGAAAAAATTCATATTCGGGCAGCTCGCTGTTCCCCCCCCCCCCCATTACTGGCGAAGCGCATAAGCTTTGACGCATCATTAAATATGAGAGAAAGAAGATGATTCGGTGTTCCATTCTCGATTCTTAATCCTTGTTTGAATTCAGTTTTCTTTAAATTATTAGAGAAAGAAAACGATTCTTTGTACCATTCTCGTCTCCTAATCCTGTTTGAATTCAGCTTTCCCCCTTCAGCACGAGGCGTGGAAGCTTTTACGTTTTATTAAATTATTAGAGAAAGAAGATGATTCGTTGTTCCATTCTCGACTCTTAATCCTTGTTTGAATTTAGTTTTCATTAAATTATTAGAGAAAAAGGTCTAGCGACGCCCCTGCGCGTACCCTAGATAACACTGAGTGGGTGGGGAAGAATAAAGTCGGGTGAGAAAGGGGGAAGGAAAAGGAAATGGCGCTAAGTGACAGTAACGACGAATAAGGGAAAACACTCCCATCATTCAAATTATTGCATTGTACATGTTCCAAGCTGCTTTCTACATGTTCCAAATTTCTATCTTGGGTATGTATTGTTTTGTCTACACATCACTCAGGCGCGGATCCAGGATTTTCCAGTAGGGGGGGGGGGGGGGGGCGGAAATTTAAAAATTGCGCAGACCGTTTTTGTCCAACTCAATATACCAATACTGACAAGGTCATAATAGAAGCCCCATACCGGAACATCGGGGGGGGGGGGGGGGGCTATAGCCCTTGCCCCAAAAATTAATTTTCTGGATTCACAATTCGGCTAGTGAGCGAAGCGAGCGAGCAAAAATTTTAGCATAATATTTTTTTTGTGAAAGTGTTATTTGTCACCAAAATAAACGAGAAAAGATTAAAAAAAAAAAAAATTAAAAAAATTCATATTCGGGCAGCTCGCTGTTCCCCCCCCCCCCATTACTGGCGAAGCGCTTAAGCTTTGACGTTTTATTAAATTATTAGAGATAGAAGATGATTCGTTGTTCCATTCTCGACTCTCAATCCTTGTCTAAATTCAATTTCCCCGCCCGCGCGTAAACTTCTGACGCTTCATTAAATTATGAGAGAAAGAAGATGATTCGTTGTTCCACTCTCGATTCTAATCCTTGTTTGAATTCAGTTTTCTTTAAATTATTAGAGAAAAAAGACGATACTTTGTTCCATTCTCGTCTCTTAATCCTTGTTTGAATTCAGCTTTCTCCTTCAGCACGAGGCGTGGAAGCTTTGACTTTTATTCAATTATTAGAGAAAGAAGACGATTCGTTGTTCCGTTCTCGACTTGTCAGAATTTCCAAAAATGTTGCTTTGTCTGCTCCTTTTCGTCCTATGTCCTCTTACTGCCCCTACCGCCCTAGCTACGCGCCTGCTTTAAAGGGAAAATGAAACAATCATGATTGTGATGGCACATAATTAGGTTAGTAGAAATGAAAGAAAAAACAGATCTATTACACCAACCATGGATAAATCACGGCCCGGGAGCGTCATATCATAGTTTTGTGTTATCGGGCGAGGGCCGGGTGTACGTAGCGACCAAGCGAGATTTTGCAATGTTGAATGCTGAAATCATGTATTCTAGAAAATCCCTAAGCTCAATATGTACGTTCTTTCCGCTAGATTTCTTTCTAGCTATATTTCTAAATTTCCTGGGGGACGTGTCCCCTATCGGATCTAGGATTGCCGCCCCTGTCCATGATTACTACCACATGAGTTCAAATACAAACACAAGCGAGTTGGTTGTGAGCTGAATCCAAATGAAGGGCAAAATAAGAGTTGTGAAGCGCCCACCGTTTATTTAAAATCTGACTGTGAGTATTATAGCTTCTATTTAAAAGAGATCCAACATATTGTGCCCTTTTCAAATTTCTCACTAAAGAGTGATGACCTTTGTAGCGCAGGGGCTGTTTTTAACGTTTAACTTTGAATACGCGGCTCGAGATTTTATGCGGCCGGTGTGGCCTGGCCCCTCTATATTCAATAACGTTTGCCAAGCCTTCAGGAATGACATCCAAATCTCCGGATTACAGTTTTCCCTTATTCGTCGTTACTGTCACTTAGCGCCATTTCCTTTTCCTTCCCCCTTTCTCACCCGACTTTATTCTTCCCCACCCACTCAGTGTTATCTAGGGTACGCGCAGGGGCGTCGCTAGACCTTTTTCTCTAATAATTTAATGAAAACTAAATTCAAACAAGGATTAAGAGTCGAGAATGGAACAACGAATCATCTTCTTTCTCTAATAATTTAATAAAACGTAAAAGCTTCCACGCCTCGTGCTGAAGGGGGAAAGCTGAATTCAAACAAGGATTAGGAGACGAGAATGGTACAAAGAATCGTTTCTTTCTCTAATAATTTAAAGAAAACTGAATTCAAACAAGGATTAAGAATCGAGAATGGAACACCGAATCATCTTCTTTCTCTCATAATTTAATGATGCGTCAAAGCTTATGCGCTTCGCCAGTAATGGGGGGGGGGGGGGAACAGCGAGCTGCCCGAATATGAATTTTTTCTATCTTTTCTCATTTATTTTGGTGACAAATAACACTTTCACAAATACATATTATGCTAAAATTTTTGCTCGCTCGCTTCGCTCACTAGCCGAATTGTGAAACCAGAAAATTACTTTTCGGGCAAGGGGCTATAGCCCCCCCCCCCCCCGATGTACCGGTATGATGCTTCTATTATGACTTTGTCAGTATTGGTATATTGAGTTGGACAAAAACGGTCTGCGCAATTTTTAAATTTCCGCCCCCCCCCCCCCCTACTAGAAAATCCTGGATCCGCGCCTGAGTGATGTGTAGACAAAACAATACAATAACCCAAAGATAGAAAATTTGGAACATGTAGAAAGCAGCTTGGAACATGTACAATGCAATAATTTGAATGATGGGAGTGTGTAATCAAAACAATATTATCCCTAAAGATAGAAATTTTGGAACACGTAGAATGCAGCTTGGAACATGTACAATGCAATAATTTGGATGATGGGAGTGTGTAGGCAAAACAATTCCAATTACCAAAAGATAGAAAATTGAGAACACGTAGAATGCAGCTTGGAACATGTACAATGTAATAATTGGATGATGGGAGTGTGTAGGCAAAACAACACAATTACCAAAAGATAGAAAATTTGGAACACGTAGAATGCAGCTTGGAACATGTACAATGCAATAATTTGGATGATGGGAGTGTGTAGGCAAAACAACACAATTACCAAAAGATAGAAAATTTGGAACACGTAGAATGCAGCTTGGAACATGTACAATGCAATAACTTGATTGATGGGAGTGTGTAGGCAAAACAACACAATTACCAAAAGATAGAAATTTGGTACACGTAGAATGCAGCTTGGAACATATACAATGCAATAATTAGAATAATGGGAGTGTGTAGTCAAAACAATACAATTACCGAAAGATATAAATTTTGAAACACGTAGAAGGCAGCTTGGAACATGTACAATGCAATAACTTGATTGATGCAAACAATGCACCTATGAAAAAGATATAAATTTGGGACACGCAAAATGCAGTTTGGAACAGGTTAGATTTGATTTGATTTGATTGATTTGATTTTATTTATTCATCATCAATAACATCAGTGATTAAACATTTGAATACATCGTGAATGGTACATGTTCATAAATGAATATTACAGATCATATAAAGAAAAACCTAACAAAGTATTGATATGCTAGACATATGTCTTTCTCATAGAATATAGAAGGTGATGATGCATATGCACTAACTTAATTGATGCAAGTATAGATGCAATTAATGTATTCAAAACAATACAAGTGTAGTGAAATACATATATTCCCTTTCTTGAATCAGTATATAGTGCAGATGTGCTGTCATAGCCTAGATAGATATGCATGCACAGCGTGAACGGACAGTACACACGCCGTGTCGGCACAAGCATAATGCATATTCATTAGGGGGCGTCAACATTTCCTTTACGTAGTGACGTGCGCAACGCGCAAACCTCTACAGGTTCCAAAAGATTGCCTACCGATCTAGTGGTCGCATTGTGTTGCCGACTAGACTTGCGTTTGAGTTGACAGTGTTGACAATGTTCAATTTTGACTGAAGTAATTAAATCTCCTCTGTGCTCACATGAGTCTGTATTGTCCAATTCCACACATTATCTTTCTGATCATTGGCATGATATGTAGGGCCTAGATTAGTTCATGAGTTGTAGTTTGTAATTTGTAGTTGTATACAGGATCAGGAAGGAAAAACAAATTAGAAATCCAGATTGCTGCACATTGTCATTGACATGATGAATGATAACTATTTTTTTCTAGATTCTTGGCAGAAAAATTCCAGAGTAGGGGTCTAGTCTAGTCTAGTCTAGGTCTAACTCCAGGGAGCTCATTCGCCAAATTGAGATTCGATCCTTTATTCTTTGTGATCCTGAAGGCGATGCACAACAAATGGTTTGAGTTGTCGTATATTATAAGATTAAGAGCAGGTTTTTCTCCATATAAATGCCACAAAACTTAGGCTGCATCTCGGAACTCTAAAAATATCTTAATCAAAATAGCGATTTAAACATTGTTCCCATGTAATTTTCCACTTTTGAGAAATGCACCCCTGACGGATAAGTAGTTCCAGTCGTAAGGAATAGTATGTGCTTATTTTTTGCTAGGTCTAGCCTTAAAAAGTAAGGGATCACAAACGATTACAGTTTGAAAATACCCTCCCCCAAACCTCGCGTTATAACTCTGCGTGTTCCACTTTTTTGTTCATTCTGGACCCAAATTGAATGAATATTGCCTAAATTTTTTGGGGGGCTGTATACCGTGATAGAAACCATTGGTGAGTCTTGAAATGTGATTTTTTTTCGAGTGGTTGATTTTTTTCAATTATCTAACCATAACCATGATAAACTATCCAAAAGGAAAAATTGAAAAATCGTTCAGACACTCTAAAAGTCTAAAATTACCCTTTTCTCTTCTTGGGCCTTTTGTCCATTTGTCAGCTAACAACCTAAGTTTCTCTATCTCTCAAATTGGAGTTGCCAAATTGGAGATTTGTAGGATGTAGAGGTTATAGACTTAGTTAGGCTAGATCCTAGTCTAAAATGATAGCCTCTAGACTTACTACTGTATGTTCTTTTGTTTTCTCTTCTCACTGTCACTGTTTATTTTTGTTGAATCATGTTTCTCTCATGTACTGTATATATCCCCTCACTTTTTCTTTTTTTGTTTTTGCTCTGCAGTATTCCTGTTATCCTTTGACTTGGTCCAAGGCAATGTGATTGAACTGGATGAGAGGTAAGTATCATGGGGAAAGGGGGATGGGTATCTGGACACATCACAACAATGTGCATCAAATACCACAACTTACAACAATTTGTTGTCATATGTACTGTTGTGTGAACTGTGAAGTCTTTAAGAATTTATGATTTATTGCATAAACTTCCTCAAATTACTCTTTGAAATCAACTGTCCAGATAGCCAACCTGTTGACATGTGACTTATACCATTTGTTGGATACAATATTCTAGAGTTTAATGTTCAAATTCATATACCATTGGTGGATCAAGGGGCATTGTGGTGGGTGTTTTTTTTTTTGGGGGGGGGGGGCACTCACGTACGGCACTGGCCCCTTTCTGTGTAAGGAAAAAAAAATGAAAATAAATGTTCAAAATAAATATAAAATATGTAAAATATATATCTAATATGATGTGCACTCACCATGACAGTGCACATCGATAAAATTTACTGAATCTGATTTGTATGACATGTGGTTAAACAGGATGTAGATAAGATTTAAAGCTTCCAGGAAGTACATCAGGAATTTGAAAAAAGATAGGGCACAAACCAGGAAGTTAATCCAAGTACAATGACTTGCATGATTTCAAAATTACTCTCAATACCACGTGTACTATTACACAAAGATACCTGAGGCTGAAACTGATAAGCTTTAAGTTTTAGAACTAATACTAATAGTGATTTAGAGTACTTTCTAGCTTGTTACTGCTACATGTATATCATTTACATATAGCTCAATGATGTGGTTATTTCATGTCTGACCATTTAAAGGCAGTTAACTATCAAAGAACTGTCCTCATGTCTGAGTGTCCATTACCTCTGAACTGTTGACATAAAAACTATTGTTGTTCAAAATAATGCATGCATTTTATTATTTTTATCACTTGAGTATGTTTAAAATTAAGTAACAGATATTCAGATTTCAGTGGAAAAAATAGGACTGCCTACTGAACCAGGAAGTTATTGTTAAATATAAAGTTCAGTGTAAACCTGTTAGATTTATGAAGAGGTACTCCCTAACATCACATTGATTTGGATTAACTAGAGAGACACGGTGGAACATGCAATACTTATTATCCAAATTTACCTTCATTATTATTATCTTTTTGTATCTACATGTACATGTTTTCTCCTCCTCATTTACATTTGTAAATTTTGTAAACTAATAATATATGTTTCTGTTGTAACTTGTATTTCCTTGTATTTCAAATGTTTAAATTTTAAATGCTGGTGGAACCGTGGAAGACAGAATTCCACTTTTGTGGACAAGAATAAATTAGTTATTATCCATTATTATCCAATATCAATTGAATTGTGAAAAATCAATGAAATTGGTTTGAAAAAGTTGAGCAGAATTCATTGAACAGTAAAGCTAATTAAACTTTTGAAGTTTTTAATATCCCCATAGTTTAAAAAAAAAAATGGCATACCAGATATTTATTTTAGGGTACTCTCAGCTGTTTGGTGAGAAATCTGACATTTTCAAAAAAAATTGTATGCAATAAATTACATGCTAATTAGCTTTTTCTCAATCTTTCACTGATCTGTTCTTATTGTTAATCTTTATTGAAATGCCATTTTTTCCAAAAAATGTTTGCACCTGTATTCATAGAAAATTATTGATAGAATAAGAATATTAAAAAAATATATCTTGCATATATACTGGAACAATATTGGACCATAAAACAACTACAGTGTACATTTCATTATGATTTTGTTTATTGATACCAAACTAGAATATTCTTTAACATTAATATCTTAATATTTATTCATCACAAACTCATTACTTTGTTTCAATTGATTTCAGGTTTATTGATGCTAAAGACCAGGGGAAGTGGCTTGTTGAGGTAACTGAACTATTTTCTGTCTTATCAAATTTTAATGAATAGTACAGTACATTGTATACCGGTATGTATTAATGTAAGCAAAATATATAAAATAGCTACTTCAATTTCATTCCAGCATCCTTACTATAAATCATAATGACCTGATTTTGATACTTGTCAAAAATGTGAACTAGGATACTTGTGGTATGATTTATACTTTTGATAGTGGTCACGGTGTATAGAAAGACCGCCTGTCTATACAGGTGACCACTTTCTTGTTTCCTGTCGAGTCCTGTGGAAAGTGTTTAAGGAAACTTTACATAAAGTCTAAGACCACCAACTCATACATATGTTTGTTGTCTACCTTGAGTACTTTCTCTGTATAAGGATCTACTTAGATGTAGATACTAGGCTGTGAGCTCCCTTGTTGTGTGAATGGCTTTACATTACCTTTTCACTTCTACTGAACATGATGCCAGTTGCCATTTTATATTGTAACATAAAGTAAATTTCTAAGCTATTCAGAAATATCATGCAAAGTTGCAAACGTACCATTTTCTGTTTTGTATTGATAAATCTCATAGTATTGGTATCACTCTTGTCATTTCAACCCCAGTTTTATGCCCCTTGGTGCGGTCACTGTCAGAAGTTGAAGCCGGTATGGGCAGACGTTGGGATTCAGATGATGAAGAATCATCCAAAACTGCATGTAGCCAGATTGGATGGAACACGTTTCGGAAGTAAGTCCAGGGTTGCAACTTAAGTTCAAATTCAAGTTTTATTTCAACTGACAAGTAACTTCTTGAGCAATTGATGTTGATTTTAGCACGGATCATCAGAAAGCTTGCCAAGATAATAGGCAACAGGGGCGACTTGTTTGAAACCATTTTATATCTCACTTCTGAGCAGCTCATAACAATGCCTCTTATAGAATTAAGACACATTTCATTGGGATGACCACATTCTTATGACTTATGACGGCTTTGAAACACTGACCACAGGGGACCCACAGCTTACAGATATCTTAGGGACTAGGTAGTCATAGGATTGATCGTGTAACTGTATTTACAGTACTTACATCCAAGATAAGCGACAATTTTGGACTGTATGTAATGTAGTATACTTTTATATCTACATTGCCACAATGAAGACTACCGGTACCTTACTGTCTGCTAAGAACAAGGGTTGGTGCTAATTTATACAATAGAAGGAAATTATCTTAAATAAGTTTCAAGTAACGGTAGTGCCTTTTGCAATGGGGATTCCAGTGATAATCTTGTGTATGTTTGAAATTTCATAAACTTATGTATTTCTACTTTCAGGGCCAGTATACAATGTATACTTATGTCAAATATTAAATGAGTAATATATACACTTGGTTCTTGGCTTAGATAAAATACTTCAATAGTGAACTTTGGTATTCAGTTCAAGCTTTTGACTAAGTATTTACTATAAATTTAAGATACATGTAGCTCCCTAGCATACTTAAGGCAATTATTTGGAGGCCTTGATTGGCAGGCATGTGGCTAATTCCATAAATTAGGGACCCACTTTGTGACGTTTTTGTGTCCCACTTTAGGAACCCACACATATTTGATTAAAAAACTTAAATAGTGGAGAGAGATTGTTAAGTGATTCTAGGTATGAGGATGCAATATTATGCTTGGAAATCAATTTACAATCTCACTCCACTATTAAAGTCTTTACTGAGAGCCACAAATACTTGTGGGTTCCTTATGTCCAAAAATGTCGCAAAGAGGGTCCCTAGTTTTGGAATTACCCATATAGTTTTTAATGCAGTATCCTAACCTGCGCACAATGATATTAATTGCATTAATTACGCATTATTTTGGATGACAATATGACGTCACAATAATCATCAGTAAGTATTTACCTTAAGGGCGGCTTACTAAAGTAAAATGCTCAGATGTGATCTAAATTTTAGTTTAGGCATATTACTTAGTCAACTAAAATGCTAAGTAAAATACTGAATTGAATACGGCCCTGGTTCTCAGAAGACAAATTCATGTAATGTATATCATTTGTGTGCAAGTAGATCTACAGTGTATATATTGCTTTTTCAAATTATATTTTGCAGAAGTGATGGATATGTTTGATGTGAAGGGCTTTCCAACTATCAAATAGTAAGTATAAAATGTTGAATAGAGAGAAATATAAAGGGATAATATAATACTACAATAATTAGGAGTTCTTGTGCAGGTTGAAAAGATTATTTGAATTTCCAAAACCCACTCCATAACTTAATGAAGTAGGAGAAGCACACACAGAAAGATATTTGAAGTGTTATCTGTGAGTATGATAGTCAGTGTTGGGAGGATGATATTCAGTTTTGGGAGTAATCAAAAATTACAATGTCTTATTTTCTTTCTTTTGTGCATGCATCAAGGGCAAACATTGCTCCCCAATGTGTGCATTTTTTAGAAAATGAATTTCTTATGATACAACATATTCACTCAACAGTCAATATCTCACAACTTCCTTTGTTTCCGAACTTACACACACTTATAAAACAGAGACTGAATACCTTAGCTTTTGGTCCTTTCCCTTTCACATTTTAAATTGATTATGATTAAAATTTTCTTGAACATTGTTTTATGGCAGTATTGAAGGAGATAAGGTCTTTACACACACCGGAGGAAGGACGTCTAAAGATATCATTGATTTGCAAACAAAGCACAAGGGTGAGTTGTGTAGTTGTATGAAGAGATACTACTTCTGTAGAAGACTTTAACATCATTATTTGCAGTTTGTTTCATGAACACCTTTATTATATCAATTAAGCAGGAATGCGAACTAAAGAATATTGTGTGTGGATTGATTTGTACACTATTGACAAATTATATCATTTGGTATGCTTGTATTTGCTTGATTTTGTAAAAGTAGAGTAGAATTTTGGCAAATTCACTGGTCAGAATTTTTAAAATAATATTAATAATATCATCTTTTTAAAGTGGAAGATGAGAAACAATAATAACAGATTTATTGGAGGTTTAGCTGTTAGTAAACCAAAATAAAAAATTATGGCCAATGGCCATAGCTTATTCTTTTATGACTTTTTTTTTCTTCTGTTACAATCAAAAATTTTCCCAGGGAATTAATCTTCACAATTATTTCTGATATTTCAACTATTGTATTTCCCCTCCATGAGAGTCATCATAAGGCATCGTTAACAATGTTAAATCTGAGATCCATGGCCCTACGTGTTATCAGTGTCTGTGATATGGTGTAATATTGAAGC